GGTTGTCTTTGAAGCAACTGGCAGATCGTAAGGGCCAGGGCGAGAGTGACTGGGAGGCTCAATTCTCTGCTCTTTCTATTCGATCGCATCCAGCAGAAGAATGTTCGTATTTATGCAGCTGCTTGCTTGAGAAGCGCACAGGCTAACGTCGTTGTTTTTCAGATGACAACCGGAGGACCCAATTCAACGAGCTACATCAGAACATCACAGCCTGCGATGATATCTTAAATTCCGTCGAGACCTTTCTTACCAGCTTCCGTAACGACCTCGCCAATGTGTCTTCCGACATTGAGTCCCTGCAGTCGAGATCCGCTGCGCTGAACCGAAGATTGAATAATCGTCGAGCTGTAGAGAAGGCCCTTTCCCCTATTATCGAAGAATTGAGCATCTCGCCGGAGACAATTACCAGGATAACGGAAGGCCATATTGACGAATCTTGGGTCCGAGCCTTGAATGATTTGGATCGCCGTGCCACCGCACACCAGAAGCGAACCGGCTCACAACCGCCCAAGGCTTTGGAGGACCTGAAGCCACTGCTGGAGAAGCTTATTCTTAAGGTACGAGCGCTTTCTTGGGACCATGGCCCGTTATCAATTGAGACACCCGCTGAAATGAAAACTAGGCAATTGAGCGCATCCGAGATTTCATCGTTGCACAGATCCGGGCCCTGCGAGCTCCTCAAATCAATGCGCAGATCATCCAACAGCAAAACTTCCTCAAATTCAAGGATCTGTTTACATTTTTACACAAACACCATCAGACTTTGGCGAATGAAATATCCCTGGCATATATGAATACCATGCGATGGTACTATCTCAACCAGTTCGGCCGTTACGAGAAAGCTCTGGGGAAGATCAAGTTACATTCGCTTGATAAAAATGATGCTCTGGGTCAGGAAGATACGCCAAGGAGAGCCAATGTGTTGTCGGCTGCAAGGATACCTGGGCCCCCCCATGACGCCTTTAACCTGGGTCGGCGTATAGATATACTGAAGACCAACAACCCTTCTGCCATCTCTTCGTATCTCGCAGAAGAAGATCAGTCTACTCATTATCTTGAAGTTCCGTTCCGCAATTTCAACCTGGCCTTGATGGACAACGCGACAGCTGAATACACGTTCCTCGCAACTTTCTTCTCTCCAGCCCTCTCGTTTGCTCAAATTTCCAAGAACTTCAACTATATTTTCGACCCCACATTCGAGCTCGGCCGGACTCTCTCCAAGACGCTTGTTGGCGAAACATACGACGCCATAGGTATACTTCTCTGTATTCGACTCAACCAGAGGTTGTCTTTTGAGCTTCAGCGTCGGAAGGTTCCCGCTGGCGAGGGCTACATAAACGCCACCAATATGTTACTCTGGCCTCGCCTGCAAGTTATCATGGATAGACATTGCGAATCCGTCCGCAGCTTAACCAATTCCCTTCCCACGAAGCCAAGCAAGAGCTCAAGCGACCCATCGAAAATGACTGCGGCGCCTCACATGCTAACACAGCGATTTGGAGCTCTGTTGGAAGGATTCCTGGCCCTGAGCACGGATGCGGGTGATGAGGAGCCAGTAGCCTCTAGTCTGCGGAGGTTGCGAACTGAGGTCGAGACGTTCTTGACTCGGCAGGCTCAGACATACGGCAGCGATAAGCGGAAAGGTTCGCGCTTCTTGTATAACAACTACTCCCTGGTTCTTACTATTCTGGGGGACATTGGTGGGAAAATGGCGATCGAGCAGCGCCATCATTTCGAAAAGCTAAAGCTCGCACACCAGGCCGACGCTTGATTTCCGTCCTGGATTTATTTTCTTGATTTTCTTTTCTTTTAAAGTCTCGGGCAGCATTGGAGAGGAGTAGGCACGGCGTTCCACATGGCTTGATATATATTTCTGTTCTTTTCTACTTTTTTTTCTTCTCCATCTTGGTGGAAATATTTGTATGTTACATATTGATGGGTTCCCTCAAGTCTATAAATCTTCTTATCCCTCGGCAGCGACCAAATATCTCTAGTTTATTTTATAGCACATGTATAAGAGGGGGCCTGGTTCCTTGGTTATACATGTGACCTGTTGCGAACAAAACGAACAAAAAACAATGTCTTTTACTGTAGGTGTGTTGTGATGCCGAATAGACCCATCGTGCGATGAATGGCCGATGGGTTGCGGCGGAGGTAGATGGCCAGGGCACCCACCGCCACGGCCATACCAAACGTGGTGGCCACCCGTCGGTACCTCCATAAGAGGACCTTGGCCTTGTTCTGCAGCTCCAGCCACTGGAGCTCCTTGACCTGTCTCTGGAACCAGACCTCTCCGTCCTCGAGGGTCTGGGCCGTCGACGCCTCCACGTCCCTTGCCGTCTTGAGCGCGCTGGCGCCGGAAATATGTCTCCACGATCGTAGCGATTCGGGCGGGTGGCGCTGGAAGAGCGCGATGGAGTCCGCGATGAGGCCGTCGAGGTCCAGGTTCCGGGGGAGCTTGCCGAGGATGACGTGCAGCATGTCGGCCTCGTCGATGTCGAATATCTCGTCGCGGCGGTCCAGGACGGTCTGGGCGAACACGTAGATGCTAAAGACGGGCTCGCGGGCGATGAGGACGTCGAAGAGGCGGGCGATGTCGTGGTAGGCCTCGATGTTGTGGGCGTACATGGTCAGGGTGCCGGAGAGGGCGTAGAAGGGCTCGACGCCGTCGAGGTGGCGGCGCAGCTTCGGGTCGGCGTGCGCGATGATGTCCGGGAGGAGCTGGAGCTGCGAGGTGGTAGGGCCCAGGGTGGGCAGCATGAAGTCTCGGATCCTGAGGACTGAGAGGCGGGCGACGAGCTGGGCTCGCAGAGGAGGGTCCAGGACCAGGAGGAAGACCTGGCAGACGTCGTGGTAGCCCTGGAAGTAGCATAGGAACGGCAGGCGACGGAGGACTTCTGTGATGAGAGAGGAGAGCTCGTTCTTGCGTTGCTGGAGCTCGGCGTCGGATTTGTCTGGAGGGAGAGCAGGTAAGTCAAGTCACCTGGACTTGGATAGGCTGGGAGATCGGAGGGGCAGACATACTACGTGGGTAGTAGACAAAGGAGCGCTCGACGTCCAGTTGAACCTGGGCTTCGTCCTTGTGAGGCGGGAGGTCCTCCCAGGAGGTTTTGGTATTGTTGGGATAACAGAGATGGTCGAGATCATTGCGACTGGAGCTATCTGTGTTCTTCTCATTCTTTGGTGTTTGTGGTTTTACTGCACCAAGAAGAATTGGCCCTGATACCCGAGCTCTGTTAGTTGGTGAAGGCGGGTTATCAAATATATGCAAGGTCCTACGTACAAGCCTGGCGTCGAAGCTCATCCGTTAAGAGGCCACCCGTTGATTCAGCAAATGAACGGAGGCGGCCAAGATCTAAACGTCGGCAGGCATCTTCGATCTCTATGTATTTTGGGTTGGGGGCATGTTCAGACTCTTGGCTATGCAACGAGTCCTCAGCGTGTTTCTCATCTTGAGATTGAGGGTCAGCAGCCGGCTCCATCTCTATGGTGTTCGTGAATGAGCCCCGGGAAATCTTGCGTGGCGCGCTTGAAATGCGCCCGACATCTGATGCTACGACGGAAGCTTGATGCGCCAGTTAATCAGGCATGATCCGAGGACGATCAAGATAGGCGCCAGCCAGCCGTAGGGCGGAATGTCACGAGACAAGATACCAGTGAGGTACTGCAGAGTTCGGTGGATGGCAGGTCGGGAGGCCAAGCAGGCAGTCGTGCAGGCTGTACCGAGTGCTCTGCTCGTGAACTGTCTTACTGCTTGCTTTTAAGACGGGCAGCATGAATGAGCTTGGTTCCTCATTCGGTCTTGGGGTTTCAGAATGAATACATACAGGGTCTTGGTTCTTACTATTGGCAGGGGCACGTCACCTCGCCGTGTCAAAAGACCCATTTCCCAGCTCCCGTCTAGAAGACTGGAAGACCAAAGGCCCCACCCAGGTACCCGCCTCATTGCTGGCAGCATTTGGCAGGCCGTCAAATCGATTTATTCCTGCTCACACACGTCCGCCTGGCCAGACGCAGTGCTACACATAGGGATGCAGTGCTTTATCTATCCTGTTGGATGACACTCGCGGACAGGCTGTTCCTCACTATGATAGGAGAGATCACCGCAATTAGTCACCACAGCAATCTGGCCACTTATGAGCACCTCAAGGTATTGGCTGGGAACTATGGCTTAAGTTCCCAGGGATCGTCCAAATAGTCCAGCCGCAGCGATGCACACACCATTCTATAATCATCAGGGTGGTCAATGATACCTTAGAGTCTCAATTAGAGACATAAGCGAAGTTGTGGACAGGATCGGAAGCATCAGCTCCTGCACTTTCTGCCCTTTTGCCTTGCTGCTGCTCTGCGGGGCAAATATGCCCCGACCTACCTAATATTAGGCACATCCGATCTTCGTAGAGCTCCCGACGTCCTATGCACCCTCCACTACATGTATAACGCTGCTCCCTCTTGCTTTCTTGTCTGTTTGGCATACGCGTTTCATCCCGAAATCTTGACCTGGCTGGTCGGTACGCCATATTTCATCCAGTAAAAATCCGCCAATTATCCTACTCCCTGTCGCCCAACAGCGCCTGAGTTCAGGTTTGTGCTCAGGCTCGTATCCACAAGCTTTGTGGTAGCTTGGCACCTGTCTGCCAGGGCCCCAGCACTGTTTCCTTCTGTCTTCATCTCGCCTGACCACACAGGTTGTTATTTCAACTGGCTGGGCTTTGAAGAACCAGGGATAAGGCCATCCGGCGATTTGGCTTCCACCAGACCTGGTCTAGTCGTGTGAAGCCCTCGCTTGGAGCAACGTGCGACCACCTGGATTCACTACCGCACGCCTGGGTATAACTGACCAACCACCGAACCTGTCTCGTATATCCCATCAGATACCACCCTTGCGACACTTGGGCTCCGGCCTCCGCCCAGGCTGTGGCTTCTGCTCGTCTAAGTGAGCAAACAATCGAGACAGGTCTCCACCGTAGTCGCCGGGTATTAGGCATGATACGGCTACCATGGCGTTTGAGACCAGTGTCCTAAGGGACGGTGCCTGGGTCACGGAAACAGTTGATTTCCAAGCCGCTCTGAAAGTCTATGCACCCCCGGCCAACTCCGAGGAGGTCTTATTCGGAGACCGTCCTCCCTGTGGGATTTTGTCAAGAACTGTAATTGAGAGTCCCGTTGTCAACGCGGTGCACTCAGTCCGCCTGAGGTCAAAGTGGAAAAATGACATTGCGTTCATTGGGGTATGTGCAATTCTTTCCTTCTCTCGGTCCCTCTTCCCTCCATTCTCAAGATTTCTTTGGTATGCTCCTACGAAAATTGCTTCGGTTTGGGAGAGGGGCAGATTGCGTTCATCACCCAACTAGTGGTTTGCGATTCTAGGAAGACTTTTATCACCGCTAACCGATGTTTCTAGGATCGATATGTCCAAATATCGGAGCTTCGCAGTGATGGGCAGCTTCACAATGTTCTAAGGGTCACTGATTTTGGCGCCCGAATTCGCAACTCCACAGTCCTGGGCAGCTGCTCAGTTCTACCCGGAGGTGTTGAGAACGACCCTTCCTTTGGCATGGACGATGATGTCAAACTCGAATTGCCCACTCAATCCGAGCGCGTGTCGATCGATATGAGGGAGGACAAGGCTCTCAGTCTTCCTCCGCAATTACTTATCCTGATACTTGAAACAGGAGATATCCTCTTCGCATTTGTTCAGCCAGATCCCATCACGAATGTACCTAGACTCGTAACCAGCAAGATCCCGCCACCAGGAAACATCCCATACTTTGGTAATCAGCTGGTTGTTGATCCATCTGGTCGTTACTTGGCAGTTTCTTCCCTTGACGACACCCTTGTCATCCATCTATTAAAACCATGGAAACAACTGAATGAGGAATTCAAGCAACATGGACGCATCATGCCGCTAATGGAGACCTCCGTCCGAGTGGTGAATGGAAATATTCAAAACCTGGCATTTCTCTTCCCACGTCAAAAAGATGAAGTTCATATAATTCTCGCCATTACGGTATTCTCACGGAAACGTACCAAAAATCCAGGCTGGTTATTGTTCGTATATGAATGGGAGCTGGGTGATGATCTCTTGAATATGTTTATGAGAATCAAGTCTCCGATCCGTCTTCCCGAGTTTTCTGAATTCCCCTATCTTCTCATCCCAATCAAATTTGGAAATGCATTCTTTATTCTCTTTCAGCGTTTTATTGGATTGGTTAAGCAACCGTTGTCGGCCCCAGAGTATGAATTCACGATCCTGCATGCTCCAGCGCCCTCAAAATTCCATCATGGGACCAACCAGCCTCTATGGACGACATGGGCGAGGCCATTCCGGCGGGAGTCCTACTCACAGGCGACAGAAATTATCTATCTTGTACGAGAGGATGGATTCCTAGAATACATTGAGTTGGAATCTAGCCAGCTGTTGTTCTCAGCCACTGATGTTGGGTTCCTCAACACCCATGTATCGCTGGCGTTCACTGCTGCTTACAACGGCTTCTCTGATCTACTAATCATAGGGGGGGATTCCGGCCCCGGAGGGATATGGAAGGCAAGCGATCCGTGAACAATCATTTTTGTTGAGATAGAGATCTTTTGACTGACTTCTTTCTTCCTTTAGCTCGAAGCACGGCAGGAGCCAGAGAAGATCATGGTAATCCCAAATTGGTCGCCTGTAGTTGATGCCACGACGACCGACCTGAACACATCTTTGGTGAGCATGGCCCCGGCAAATCAGCATGGAGACAATTCTAGAGGCCACGAGACCCCGGATAGGATATTTCTTGCCACTGGACGTGGAGCAACCGGCAGTGTTACAGAAATCCGGCATGGCATCCAAGCGAGGATTGGGCTGGACTTGGAACTGGGTGAACCTGTTCGGCAAGCTTGGCTATTCTCTGATGATAGATTGGGAAGTGGAAGCATGGTTGCAATCTTAGCGCTACCCTATTCCACTGCCATTCTGTCGTTCTCGAGCAACCTGGAAGATGTTGTGGCAGAGCCAGCGGACCAGACGCCCTTTGATTCATCAACACGCACTCTGTGCTCGGCTCGGATTGTTTCAGATGTCATTGTCCAAGTTACCGAGGAAACAATCACACTTGTAACGCACTCTCAGAGGTATGGACAGAATTGAAATTGAAGACTTGAAAGAAAGTAGAGATTGAAGCTGACAAATGGTCTTGTACAGCTCGCAGCACAAGCTCAAAGAGCTGTGCGGTTCGCCGGAATATATACCCCAAAGGGTCTTTTCGGCTCACCAATTCATTGTACTTTCGAGATCTCTGCCGCAGGGCTCTGAGATGCGAGTTCTTCGTGTCGAAGAGATGAATGTAATCCCCGAAAGCTGCTGGGACACTCCAGGAGAGGATTCTTGCATCTCTCTACTCGAGTCGTCTGGAGAATGCTATCTTCTCTTGGGTGAAATGGTAGATAGCTTGCCTTCGATTGCTATCTACTCGATGGACGGGAATCTAGTCACGAGACAAAGCATCACGGAAAATACTGGTATGAACTCCCTGAAGAAGTGAAATTGAAAGGTATTGTTAGCTAATATTTTCCCTCGTAGCCACCACTCCAAATTCCCAATCCTCACTAGAGGCACTCACAAGTATTGTTGTCGCCAAAGAGCAGCAGGAGTACTTTGTCGTCATTGCTGGAACTCGGTGTGGCCATCTGATAACCTTCCAAATACCCAAAAACGCCAATAGGCAGATCTCTTGGAGAATTGAGAGATTAGGGAACTCGCCTGTGGAAGTGTTCCCCCATTCAAATACAGATGGAGCCGGGACTGGAACTCCATTTTTATGCTGCGCCAACAATGCGGTTCAGCTGGGCAAATATTCCCCTGATTCGAATCGCTTCAAAAGCAAAACAACTATCTGGCCAACGGATATGAGCGACTCTTCTCTCCAAGTGCCCCCGATTCACTCTGTCTTTGGAGTTGGCTCATACCAAGGGAATAGTGCCAAATATTCGATGCTTGCAATGGTCGCCGGTACGAGAATGCTCATCGCTGATCTGAGTGACCACTCTGGCTCGATCCCGAGAAGCATACCTGTTGATGGTACCCCTACAAGGATACTCTACTCAGAAGTATGGAGGTGTCTTGTAGTCGGTTACCAGGTTGAAAATAAGCCCTCCATAGCCTTCATCGATCCTGACACTGGGGAATCGATATCAAAAGCGATCGATAAAGACAAAAACGCATGCGAGTTCATTACCGGGCTGGGCCAAGCTGAAGATCGGATATTTGGGCTCCAGGAATGGCTTTACATGAAGAACGGCGAGATGTTCCCCTTTATTATTGTCACAACGCAAAGTGGCGGCCTTTTAATCGTCTCTGTCCGGGAAGAAAGGAAGAAGAAGGAAGGAAGCGGCACGAGACAACTTCAGCACTGGACCAGATATAGGAAGAAAGGGTTTAAAGTGCCCATCTATTCGGTAGTGCCTGACCAAGAAGGACTCGTCTACTGTGCTGGCCGAACACTGTACTGGGACGTCCTCGACTTGGCCGAGAAGAAGATGAAGACGGCCAAGTCGTTTGAGCTGGACTCGCCGGCTACTTCGCTGTCGATATCAAATGGGAAAATCTGGGCGTTGACGAGCATGCATTCACTGCAGATTGTGGACCATCGGAGCGATCCTGGAGTATATGATATGAGACTTTTGCATACCGATCGGGCCACACGAACAACGAGCCACATGATTAGCGTTGGGCCAACTACGCAAGGTGATCTCTGGCCAGTTACACTTCTGTCTGATGTCTCTGGTGGCATTGCGGGTGTGTGGGTGCCATGGGATAAACGAAATCAAGAGCTGGTGGTGGCATTTGAAGGCCAGCTTGGCAACTCGGTGAGGAGATTTATACGAGCAAAATGTCGCCCAACCTGGCTGATGGAAGAGCATGGGCGGCCGCGGTACGGCTGCATACAGAGCAGTTCCGACGGGGCTGAGATTTTGGGCCTTTCTCTGGATGGATCGATGCGGCATTTCACTCTTTTACAGCAAGACCTTCGGCGATTTCTTTATCTTGTGCAATCGCTCTGGAGAGCCGAGAAGTCGGCTAGATATGCCCGCGAACAGCTCAATACGCTCCTCCAAGCTATAGAGCTCCCCAAGAGCCAGCATATCGATGGTGACGTGCTGATTGCCTGTCTGAATCAACGGTTACTGGAGAGGTTGGTCCATGAGAGCGGTACTCAAGATCTCTTTCGCAGATATCTGGATGAGCTGGAGGGTGGGTTGCACACGAGAAGCTTTGGACGAATCGACACCGAGGACAGCATGGATCTGGGCCTGGGGGATGATCTGCAGGGGAAATATATGAAACTGGGGTATGATATCTTGGACTATGTTCTCGCACCTGTTCTTTAGCAGACAGGGGTTATCTTCAAGATTGGTCTATCATTTAACTTGTTCATGCAAATGCCAACGAAGAGATGCTATCCACACTTGTAGGTCTTCTTAGGTAGGTCCCCTATGCAGGTGTTGCTGTCAATGTGGGCGGGCGAGCGGCTATTATGCCGTCTTCACATTACATAATATTGAAGCTGGGCATTGAATTTCGGGGAAAATTTCTGGTGAATGCCCATCAAGTGCCCAGTGACGTGGTGAGCTGGTGGTGCATTCAGCTGCTACAGAGCGGGGTCCAGGCGCTCAAGGGTGCCTGCTCGGCGCTATGCGGCCTGTACTGGCTGCCCCTCTCCCTCGTGAGGGGCCTGTAGCAGCGACGGGCAGAGGCTCCTACAGGCGCTGGCCGACTTGCCCCGCGGGAACGTCTCTCCACATCACCAATACCTGCCTGGCCACTTTTAAAAAAAGAATCAGCCGCCACCTCGACAACCGCACGGTTCCTGGTGATCGATTGACTCTGACGGAAGCAGACCGGACCCAACGACCAGGCAGGCTGAGCGATTTGCGACCGACCTGTGATCCCCCGTTTGCCCAATCAGAGGAGCTTACCAGAGCATGTCTTGTCGGTTCCTCCCACTTCCTCAGCAACCTTCTCCTCCCTCGCTGGATTTGCCACCAGACCCCGTCAACCCGTGCTGAAACCGAAAGGCTTCCTGAACCTTCGGATACATACGTAAAGTAAAATATCCGACTGTGAAACCCTCCAAACAAAGCTCGACTCTTTGTCTGTCCCAACCTCACACTCGACCGTGTGTGTGTGTGTTTGTGTGTGTGCCTGTGTATAGTTTCGCAGCGCAGCCCCCCCACAACGACTAATCTAATACCGATTGCTTCCTATACTTGAGAGGACAAAATTAAAATTAATCACGACCCTCGAAATACACAAGAGAGCATTTGAGAAAACCCCAATACCGACATCATGCCGCCTAAGAAGAAGAACAACAAGAAGGCCCAGGATGACTGGGAGGCCGACCTGGGCGAGACCATTGCCCCCAACGGCGGCGCCCCCCCGGCCGCAGATGCCGACGCCGCCGCCAACGAGGAGGGCGAGGACGAGGCCGCCGGTGGCCTGATGGCCATGCTGCGCAAGAACAAGCAGAAGCGCAAGGACAAGGGCCTCCCCGAGGTCGAGGCCGCCGAGACCCCCGTCGACGAGCCCCCCGTCATCAAGACGGCGCAGGAGGCCAACATGGACGACGAGTTCGCCCTGCCGGAGAAGAAGGGCAAGGGCGGCAAGGGCAAGCAGGCCCAGAAGAAGGCCGAGCCCCAGGGCGACGATGATGACGGCTCTGGCCGGATCCTGACCAAGGCCGAGAAGGAGAAGCTGAAGAAGGAGCGTGAGAAGCAGCGCAAGAAGGAAAACGTGAGTTGGCGCCCTCCCCCCCCCCCCGGCTTTCCATGCTTTCTTTGGTGGGCAAGATCATGTCGCTAACCTCCTGAATTCAACAGGCCGCGAAGAAGAAGACAGATAAGCCAGAGCCTGCCAAGGCCGCTCCTGAGAAGAAGAAGGAGGAGGTGGCACCCACGCCGGACGCCGCCGAGCCGGCAGCCGGAGGCAAGAAGAAGAAGATTCCTGCTCATCTGCTGATGATTCAGAAGCAACAGGAGGAGTTGCGCCGCAGACAGGAACAAGAAGAACGTGCCAAGGCCGAAGCCAAGCGCGTGGCTGAGGAACAAGATCGTTTAGATGCTGAAGAGATCAAGCGCAGGGACGAGGCCAAGGCGCTCAAGAAGCAGAAGGAGAAGGAAAAGATTGAACAGCTCAAGAAAGAGGGCAAGTTCATGACCAAGGCCCAGAAGGAAGAGAAGGCACGAAATGAGAAGAAGCTGCAGCAGATGTTGGCTGCCGGTATCAAGGTTGGCCCTCAGGAAGACGCCCCAAGTGAGCCTAAGAAGAAGAACGAGGCCCCTAAAAAGAAGAGCAGGCAACAACAGAAGGTATTTTTCATCCTCCCCCTTTCCCCTCGAGTATGCATTTAAGCGTTTGCTAATTCTGTCAACCAGCTTGATGAAGAGAAGGCTCTTGCTGAGGCCGCTGAGCGTGCCCGGTTACAGGCAGAGAAGGACTTGAAGGAGGCTGAGGAGAAAGCCGCCCAGAAGAAGGCCGAGGAGGAGGCCGCCGTTGCTGCTCAGAAGAAGGCCGAAGAGAGCGACATTGAAGATGACTGGGAGGCAGCAGCAGCATCTGACGATGATGTTAAGGACAGCTGGGATGCCGATTCAGACCAAGAAGGCAAGAAAGGCGAAGACGCTGAAGAAGAGGATGAGGATGATGACGATGAATCTGATGACGATGAGGATCGCATCTCCGCTGCTCGTGCGGCGGAAACCCAGAGGAAGAAGGAGGCTGCTGAGCGAAGAGAAAAGGCGCACCAGGCCGCCCTGGCTGCTCGTTCAAAGGACAACCTTCGATCGCCCATTTGCTGTATTCTGGGTCACGTCGATACCGGAAAGACCAAGCTCTTGGATAAGGTCCGTCAGACCAACGTTCAAGAGGGTGAGGCTGGTGGTATTACCCAGCAGATCGGTGCCACATACTTCCCAGTCGAAGCTCTCAAGCAGAAAACGGCCGTCGTCAACAAGGACAACAGCTTCCAGTACAAGGTTCCCGGTCTGCTCGTCATCGATACCCCTGGTCACGAGTCTTTCTCGAATCTGCGTTCTCGAGGTTCTTCTCTCTGTAACATTGCTATTCTGGTGGTCGATATCATGCACGGCTTGGAACCTCAGACCAGGGAATCTATCCAGCTGCTCAAAGACCGCAAGACGCCGTTCATTGTTGCCCTGAACAAGATTGATCGTCTCTATGGCTGGAAGAAGGTCGATAATAACGGCTTCCAGGAGAGTTTGCGCCTCCAGAACAAGGCCGTCCACAACGAATTCCAGACTCGTCTGGAGAAGGTCAGGCTCGAGTTCTCCGAGGTGGGCTTCAACTCTTTCCTCTACTACGAGAATCCTTCGCTCAAGAACAACGTGTCTCTCGTGCCCACCTCAGCCCACACCGGCGAAGGTGTGCCGGATATGCTGAAGCTTATCCTTCACCTTACCCAGGAGCGCATGACGGGCTCTCTGATGTACCTGTCCGAGGTCCAGGCCACTGTCCTTGAAGTCAAGGCTATCGAAGGTTTCGGTATGACCATCGATGTTATCCTGTCCAACGGTATTCTGAGAGAAGGAGACCGCATTGTTCTGTGCGGAACAGAAGGTGCCATTAAGACAAACATCAGAGCTCTGCTCACACCACAACCGCTCAGAGAATTGCGTCTCAAGTCTCAATATATTCACAACAAGGAGGTCAAGGCTGCTTTGGGTGTGAAGATCAGCGCTCCTGGTCTAGAAGGTGCCATTGCTGGTTCCAGGCTCATGGTTGTCGGTCCCGATGATGATGAGGAGGACATCGAGGACGAGGTCGAGTCTGATCTCGCCAACCTCCTGAGCCGAGTCGAGAAGTCCGGAAAGGGTGTCACTGTCCAGGCATCTACCCTTGGTTCCCTGGAGGCCTTGCTTGACTTCTTGAAGGACATGAAGATTCCCGTCGCCAACGTTGGTATTGGTCCAGTCTACAAGCGAGATGTCATGCAGAGCGGTATCATGCTGGAAAGGGCGCCCGACTACGCCATCATGCTGTGCTTCGATGTCAAGGTTGACAAGGAAGCCCAGGCTTACGCCGACGAGCAGGGTGTCAAGATCTTCACGGCCGACATCATCTACCACCTGTTCGACTCCTTCACCAAGCACATGGAGGAGCAGCTCGAGCGCAAGAAGGAGGAGTCCAAGATGTTGGCCGTCTTCCCCTGCGTGCTCAAGCCCGTCGCCGTCTTCAATAAGACCGGCCCCATCGTCATCGGTGTCGATGTCACTGATGGCCAGCTGAAGATCAACACGCCCATCGCAGCCATCAAGCAGAACCCCAACACGGGTGCCAAGGAAGTCATCAGCTTGGGCAGAGTGTAAGTTGAACCACTTGAATTGTTTTCTTAACCCTGGTATAACCCCCGTTTACTAACAATTCGTCTAGAACGTCTATCGAGCGTGATCACAAGCAAATCCCCGTGTGCAAGAAGGGCCAGCCCTCCGTCGCCGTCAAGATTGAAATGGGCAGCAGCCAGCCCGTGTACGGCCGCCAGCTCGAAGAGACCGATACCCTCTACAGTCTCATCTCCCGTGCCAGTATCGACACCCTGAAGGAGTTCTACCGCAAGGACGTGAGCACCGACGAGTGGAAGCTCATTGTCAAGTTGAAGCCCATGTTCGACATCAACTAAAGGGGGGGAAAGGGTTCTTTCTTATCTAGGTCATATGTAGTGTGATTCAAAAAAAGATTGGCAGTACCGGGTCGTCGTTTCTCTTATCATTTACATCCATGCATCATAACCAAAAGTTATTTTCATAAATTGGGACTCTACTCTTGTGTGTGATCTCCTCTTTTCTCTCTCTCGCATTCTTGATACGTGCATTCAGGTGGAACGGGTGTAAATCTTCACGAGTTCATATGAACCTTAGGTATAATATAGAAATATGTGTTTAGAGTGGTCTAAAAATCGGCATATGTCCCATCATCATTTAGCACCTGTCTTTTACCCCCTCTCTTCGTCCCCCGGAAAAAAAGAAGCTGAACCAGAACCAGAACCTTAGAATCTATACTGGCACTATTCCAGCTGCCATTAGTTTTACCGCCATGTTTCGTTCGTCATCAACAGCGTTAGCAAACTCCTCTACCCGCAAACATCATCTATTTTGGGTCGCCCTCCTGCGTCTCTGGCGTCGCGTCGGCGTCCTTCATCTCTGCGTCCGCCTTGTCGCCCTCGGCGGCTTTGCGTGCGTCCTCCTCGGCCTTCTTGGCGGCCTTCTCGGCATCCAGGCGCTCCTGGACGGCGATTCGGTCGGCCTCGACCTTCTCGAAGTGGCGCTGGACGATGGGGCCGGCCATGGCGCGGATCTCGTCCATCTTGGCGACGTAGACTCCCTTAGAGGCATCCTCGCCCTCGTCGTACAACCAGTCCTAGGGAGCAGGGTTAGAAAGATATTCGAGCCTAGGAGTTCGGGAGCGCAATGGAAAAACATACCTCGGAAGCTTCTAGCTTGGCCTTGATGGTGGTCTTCTCCTCCTCGCTGGCGAACTCGTCGTACTGGTCATCGAGCTTGGCTCGGAGGTCGTAGATGTAAGCCTCGAGCTCGTTCTTCTTCTCCTCAGTGTCGGCAACAAGCTTGTCCTCCATGACCATGGAGGCTTCCTTCTCTGTCAAGGAAGCCTTAACGCTCTCCTCCAAAGAGGCTGTGCCACTGACGATAGGAAGATCACCCTTGCGGACCTGCTTCTTGACCTTGCGCGTCTTCTTCTCGTCCTTGTCGGTCTCCATGGCCTAGTTTTGAAATCGAGTCAGTTAAGAATACTCCCGAAGAAACAGTACTTGTACAACTCACATCAGGGTCCTTCTTCTCTCCGTCCTCCTCCTTGACCTCCTCCTCGACTTCCTGGTCCTCAACGTAGTAACCGGTCTCAACGTTCAAGATACCGTGAATGTTAACACGGGCCTTGAGCTTGCAAATCATAAAGTCGTCACCACCGTCTGCCTTGACTCCCTTGACGGAGAAGCGACCAATCCAGGGGTTGGTCTTGCCAGGGAGCTCTTCTGGCTTGGCGTATCTGGCCTCCAGATCGAAGGGTTGTTTCCTGTAGAAGGTGAGGATCTTAGTAGAAGGAAGGACATTGCCCTTGTTGAAAACGGTGAGGCTGGTGTCCTCATCGGGGATATCGGGGGCCTTCTCCCAGGCGAACTCGATGGGGTAGCTAACAATGTCCTGGACGGCGAAATCACGGACACGGAAAACGGGAGAAAGGATGGCACAGCTGAAGGCGGAACCACGGGCGACAGCCTCGTCGGCGTTCATGGTGTAGGAGAGGGGCTTGCCGAAGAACGACTGGATGCGCTCCTTGAGGGCAGGGACACGAGATCCACCACCGATGATCTCAACGACATCGATGTCGTCCTTGGTGAGCTTGGCCTGAGCCAGAGCCTGCTCGAGAGGAGCGGCTGTGCGGACGAGGAGAGGCTCAATGAGAGCCTCGAACTCCTGGCGGGTAATGACGGCAGAAGCATCAACATCGTTCATCAGAGACTCGATGTTGACGGGGGCCTGCTGGTTGGCAGAGAGAATCTTCTTGGTCTTCTCAGCGGCGGCGATGGTACGGGCCATGGCGCGGCCGTGGGTGTAGATGTCGACCTTGTACTTGCCCTTGAACTCCTTGGCGAGGTGGTCAACCAGAGCCTTGTCGAAATCACGGCCACCAAAGTTGCGGTCCCAGGCGGTAGCCTTGACAGCGAGCTCACCCTTCTTGAACTCGACGATGGAGACGGTGTAGTTGGAGTGGCCGATATCGACAAAGGCAACTCGGCGGGGCTCCTCCTCGGGAGCTGGGAGATCCAGCTTGGTGATACCCCAGCCAAGAGCGGCAGCTGTGTTGTCATTGATAAGACGGAGGAGCTTGAGGCCGGCGATCTCGGCGGCATCGTTGAGAGCACGGCGCTGGATATCGGTGAACCAAGGAGGAACACTCATGCAGATATCGGAAACTGGTAGCTTAAGCTCGGCGGCAGCGGTCTGCTTGATCTTGCTCAGGTACATGGCCACGAGCTGGGTGGCAGTGAACTTCTCCTTGTTGCCCAGGTAGTTGATTTCAGCACCAACTTGGCCGTTGACGTCAACAAGAGGAGCAGTGACGAACTGCTGCTCAATCTGGACATCGGGATCGCTGAATTGGCGGCCAGCAAGACGCTTGAGGCAGTTCACAGTGTTCTTAAGGCTGGAAATTTCTTGCGTCTTAGCGGTCTCACCGAGGTATCGAGACTTGGTGCCAAAGCCAACCAAGGATCTATATGACGAGATCTGTCAGCCCAACTTGCTTCTTCGCTTTGTTTATTTCGGTAGGGAGGGGGGCTGGCTTACGGTGTGCTTCGGTTTGAGACTTCATTGGTGATCTATTGCAAATAAAAAGTTATCAGCCGTTGTTCCCTCGTAATTGTTCAAAGTTTATTTTGCAGTCCCTGTTATCGAGGAAAGCCAGCGCTCTTGACTGAATCTCGATTGCGAGGATGTTGTATGCGGATGGATTTTTAAGACTGGAGACCGGGAGGGGGCATGGAGGGGCAGAGAGAGAGAGGCACTCACCACATCGACACCACGATTTCTCGCGACAGCAATCACTGTCTTGAGCGTACCGAAATCGACACCTGGCTTGAAGTTAGCATTTCCATTCCAACCGGGTGAGAAAGCAAGCAGGTCTTGCTGCTGCTGATCCGCGGGCAGGACGCAGTGAGGGGCAGCTCGATCGCCATGGGGACCCCCAGCAGTTCTGCTCGCGGTCTGGGCTGGACGCAGCAACAGCAGGAACCCAACGGCCAAGGGACAGAAAGTATGCAAAGGCAAAACGTACCGACGACACTCATGGTTACGGCTGTATGTGATGAGGACCGCGATCGGTAAAGAGACGGGGTTTGTGTGTTGTATCGTTGCTCACGACCTGCGCACGACAAGATATCGACGAGGAAGCGAAGCGGGCGGCTGGAGGGGCAGGCGGATAGTTTATTTTGCTCTATGAAGGAAAAGGAAGGGTTTATGCAATAGCGGAGAGATGGGTTGGTTTACGAGGGGCACAAAAAAAAAGTGTTAATGGTCGGGTCCTGCGGCCGGTTGCTTTGGGCAAAGCCTGAGGAAAATTCGGCCAGGGCGAAGTATCTGGTACAGCGCCTAATAAATAGTTGTGTCAGTTGGCAGCCACGGTTTGTGCTAAGAACAGCTCTCCGTTAGTAACACAGGCCGCAGCCAAGGCATCCTCCTCCACGTAAGTCGGCGGTATCGAGTACCTCCAGCCATGTCGGTGTGGCATTCGTGGTATCCTCCATTGCATCCTAGTGCCGGTGCTGCTTTGCATCTCGACGAGTCCTCTGCCTGCTGATTGCCGCCGTTGAACATGGGCATCCGTTGCCGTTCCCCAGCTGCTGTTCCCACTAAAGCAGCGCTGCCCGACGGTGCGCTCGGCCAGGGTTGGACTTGTAAGAGCTGCTCGCTGTGGCCGCTGCGTACCTGGTACTACGGGCCTGGCTCGAGTGGAGGGGGATGGGGGTTGCCAGCTGGTTCTACAAGGCTCTGCCCGTTGAATTGCGCTTTCGCGCTTTGCCAATTGGACTGTTCGAGAGCAATAGCAATGCTCGTCATCCCACCCCGGAGCCTCTGCCCCGCCATCGAAGTTGAAAGAAATTTCCAGACACTTCAAGCTGCCCCGCGACGCCCGATAAGATAAGGAACGTGGCGTCCCAAGTACCGAGTACATTGTGCCTCATGCTCGAGTCCAGCCTCCATTCCATCCAAAGCCAAACATGCACAAAGCTGCATCTAGGTCAGGCAGCTTTACCATGTTCCTCAGCCCCTTCCCGCCATCCTGCTTGGAGGGGAAACCGGGTCTTTGGACATGTGATTTCAAGGTTTTCTCATCCAGACGCCAGTTTCCACCACATCCTCGCTGCAGGAGGTACACCCCGGTCTCGTTGCTATGTAAGTGAGTGAATGTGGAGAGACGAGGACCACCTCCCGTCCCGCGACACAGAATGACTACACTGCCCAGCTCCAAGGCGAGGAAATCTCTTTATCTGACCCTCTTGGCGCCTTTCTACATCTCAATATCTCGCAGAGATGGGGTGGGGAACATAGCCAAATTGGGCAACAGAGGAACAGGGTTCGGTACACCTCATCTATATACGAACAGGGATTCATTATGAGTGGCGGGGCAACACACAATGTGCAGAACCGCCTCATTGTATGAATCCAACCAATCCAATGTCACTACGTCATGCGATACTACGAAGTGCATTTCCAGGATGCTCTAGCTCGAATCCCAGGCAGCATTTCCCTGAACAAAAAGCAGGGAACCCACAACCAACCAAGAACGAGGCGGCTCACAACGGCTGTAAGTGACAAAAGAAATGAGGCGCCCATGTGAAGAGCGGTTATAAGCAGACCGCTTTCTATAATGGCACCTAGAATAATACAACAGCAAAACGATATAAACGAAGGAACTTAATGGAGATTTTCTGTATTAGAAATGGTCTCGTTCTTAGAGGGCGAGGCTCAGTGCTAGCAAGCTCACCATCAGACCGTCTTCCCTCTGACTTTCGCAATCATATCTTGCCAAGTTGGAATGGGGTATACATCTATCAGGGATGCTCGATTGATTTGCCCAAGGCCAACTATGATTCGCGGCTTTCGC